GAGGCAGAGGCAGTCGGATCACTGAATTCAAGGCCAGCCTGGTCTACAGAGTGAGTTCCAGGACAGCCAGGGCTACACAGAGAAACCCAGTCTCAAAAAAAAAAAAAAAAAAAAAGAAAGAAAGAAAGAAAAGAAAAAAACCTTAACATATAGATGTTTCCTCTATTACCCTTTCTAGTTTAGTTCTTTTGTTCTCCCCAGGGGCAAGCATGACCTGAGTACCTGCATTTATTATGGTATATATGTGGGGAAAAAAGATTGATTGATTGATAATATTTGCAACGCTTACTCTTCAATGTCAAAGTGACTATGGACACACACCTATAGGTGCATCTATTAGAGTTTTTCCAAAGAGGTTTAAACTGAGGAGGAGGATCCATGCTGAATGTGGTCAACAGCATTTCAATAAAAAAGAAGAGATCAAGCTGAACCCTAGCATCCCTCCTTCTCTCCCTCCCTCCCTCCCTCCCTCCCTCCCTCCCTCCCTCCCTCCCTCTTCTTCCCAGCAGGAAGGGCTCTGTCACTTCCTACCATGGCCTAAAACAAGACTTTGTCGACTTGCTCTCTTCAGGTATTTCGCCCCATTGATGAGCAAGTAACTAATGCAGTATCATATATGCATAATATATATATTTATATATACGAAGCATGTGTAGTATCAAAATAAGGATCAAAGATCTATCAAACATGCATATCTCAGAAAATTCTTCTTTTAAAGTACAGTTTTAAATTTCCTGCCAACACTGGCAGGTTTGAGAGGGCAAATTCCATAGAACATATATTCATACAACCAAAGTCAATGGCCACGTCTTCCTGGAAAACAATTAGATACAAAACAAATTAGAGCCAAAACATTTTTTTAATGAATTCTGAAACCCATGTTGCAAATTCCAAGAAGCCCCTGAGAATGGGAAGGCATTTCTAAGTTGGTGACGTGACTAGCAGACAGTTTACACTTACAGACTGGAGACCATAGGTGAAACCAGTCCAGGTTAGCTGTCAGAGGAGAGCCTGGACATGGTCGCAGGCTGAGATCGTTGGATTCCTTCCCGTTTTACCAAGCAGAACCTCATATTCACTCTTCACACCCCCAGGCTATCGTTTCATAAGTTACTGTCTGATTGCTGAATTTCCCTTACCCTCTGATTATTCTCATAACTTAAGCTGCTCCCAAGGCTTCGTCAATGGCCTCTGTAAACCACAGTTTTCTGGTCACTGAAGAAAGACTTCCTGCGGCTCCCAGAAGAACTCTAATCAGTCACAGACGTGACTTAGGTCACCTGAAGAGTCACTACATGAGTGAAGTCCACTTTGGCGACATTGCATGGGTGGGCTTAAAGACAACAGAGGGGGCAAGGTCAGTCTGAGGTAGTCAGACTCTACGAGAGAATCAATTGACTGCATAACCGGTCCAAATGGCGGTCATGATTGCCAAGCCAGTGAGGTAAAGAATGGCTCACTTGCTGGTTTTATGCAGTCAGAGTTTTAATGAGTAATGAATGCATATTAAGCCTGGCTCTTGGTCAGGCTTCTTTGGATCGTTATCGGTCCCTTAGTAATTTTATTTAATAGAGAGGTATTGATTCTAATGTCCCAGCCAAACTCCAGAATTACAGTCTGCTCTTCCCAGACTCCCTCTGACAGCCCCCTAGACCAGCAAGATGTCCTTCTCAAGCATCCAGAGAGGGCCAAGGGAAGCTCCCTCTGCTAAACTCAACACGCAAACATCTTAATGGTTCATGAGACCTCTTGGCCCATCATACATTCAGCCATATAAACGCTCATAGTTGTAACCTTTTCAGTGAGGAATGGATCTTTAGTTGGTCCATTTGACAAGACACTGACAGGTGTTTATTTACAATTCTCTGATTTCTCTACAGATTATCCCAGAGTAGTGGAGAAAAACACAAAGAGCAAAACTGTATACTGGACTCCTATGGGGAAAGGGAGGAATGAATAGTTATCCTTATTACTAACAGGGTGGTTCACAAAGGAAGATTTGGTGTAATTCCATCATTTTAGACACTTTACAACATGATCTTTGGCTTTTTCCCCCCTAAGAAGAAATATTCCATACACTGTGAAAACTAGCATGACATCAGGTGGTTGGGCAGGTAAGGGACCCGGTGTGGTGGCCCACCTGTTTACAGTACATGCTGGAATGTGGGTCGTGACCTAGACAAAATCCCAAGCCAACCTGTGATTTCCCAATGCATCATTAGGAAACTAACTACGTAGGCAGCCTTTTGATTTCATTTGAAGACTTAGCTGATTCACCGAGGAAGGAAAAGAGTCCGAGACGCAGTCTGACGGGTGTCACTTAGAAGTTGTGATGGGTTTGCAGAGCTTTTACAGAGTTTACACGTTGAATTTTTAAGTAAGTTTATAGGGAAGGGCGTCTGAACAGTTTATAGGGAAGGGCGTCTGAACAGTTTATAGGGAAGGAAGGGCGTCTGAACGTGAGTGCCGGTGCCCACAGGAGCTGGGACAGCCCCACATGAGAACCAGACTTGACTCCTCTGTAAGAGCAACAAGCAGCTTTAATCACTGAGCTATCTCTCTAGCTCAAGGTTTCAATTTTATGTTTGTTTTGGTATCATGTGTATTTACTCAAGCTTATACTCCCTGTAAACGAGAGAGAGAGAGAGAGAGAGAGAGAGAGAGAGAGAGAGAGAGAGAGAGAGAGAGAGAGAGAGTTCTTTAGTAACATGATCAAGAGGCATTATTGGAAAACAATAAAAATGACCAGAACTCTGAAAGTGTTGGTACCATTTCCATGTGTCCCTAACTCTAGGGAAATCGACTATGGAAAATAATACACTCAGGTAGCACATACCGAGGTCTAAAAAAATCATCTTTTCTCTCTTCTAGCATTACTGACACTCATTAGCACCTTTGGATATAATTTCATGCAATTTATTTTTTATTTATAAAATTGTTTCCAGGTGTGATTGCATCCATCACAAAGACATAGTTTAAAAATCAAAAAAAAAAAAAATGAGAGCATTTGCTTCCAAAATTTATGTGTGCTCTAATTATACAAAAAAAGTAATTTGTTAACATAATTTCTCTCCCTTTCTCTTTTTTAGTGTGATGCTATGCCCTCTAAAGACGTTTGCAAAGCGGGGAGGGGGGAGGAGGGGGGAAAATGGATCCCATACTTCAGGTATTTCCATCAGTCGGATCACTGCCTTTTAATAACGTTTAACTCTGTAACATAATGCTATGTTTGGTAATCCTTTCTTGGGCTTTTTTTTCTTACGTAGGCTAACCGGAAATTCCTACTACAGGTGAAATATCTTTGAGGGCTTGCTGCTGCTGCCCGAGCAGAGGCTTTGGGGTACAGTATGAAGGAAGTGGGGTGCCAGAGTTGAGCAACCGAGGGACACTGAAGACAGTTTTTACCATCAGTTCTTTGTGTCACAGTGACCAGTCGCTGATGAGGGACAACACAGGCTCGCACACAGGTAGAGCAGAGTTTGCTTAACTCCCGGCTCGGAGGACACAGACCACACGGGTGGAGGGCGGCCGCAGGAGAGCCCAGGGCTGGGGCTTGCTTGTGTTTGGATGGATGCGGAAGCACAGTGTTATGTACGAGAATCCAGCCTCGCGAGCTGCCCCACCGTGACCACCACTGCCTCCCCCAGACTCGCAAGGTGGATCCCTTCCTTCAGCCACACCTCTCCAGGGACGTGGTCGCAGACGCATCCCAGGCTACACATCACTTTTTTTTTCATAAATGTATTTTTTAAAAGTGGTTTAAACACAACGAACTGCCCAGGGTCCTAAGGAAACAGGTACGGAGGTGGTTGTCACCATTCGTGAAATTCTTTCGTAGCAGTCACTAGATGAAGGTGGGTATTGTGATGTGAGGATGAAAAGGAAGGGTGTTTGTGCCAGCGCAGTGGGAGAAGCAGGCTCCTGGGGGATTTGTCCATAATTAGGATGGAGCACGGAAGGAGAGCCTGTCTTGGAGATGTTGTTACTCAGGAAAAACACCAGCAGGGTCCTCTCTGAGGAAGCTAACCATATTAAAGGCGCCATTAGAGGCAAAAGCCCCTCCCAGGGCTCCACCACTGCAACCCATGCGGCAACCCCGGGGCTTCCAGCGTTCAAGTCTCCCAGCCCCTGAGTTATACGTGCCCCAGCCAGTGTGGTCCTTTGAGACCCACCAAGATGTGGGGCAGCATGGGATTTTCTGCCGCCGTCTCACCACTATCTTTCTGGTCCTTTAAAAAGATAACATTTGTGGGTGAGGGATACCTGGCCTTGCGACACCATAAATTTTCCAGGCTGCTGGAGGAAGGGTTGTTCTAGTCAAAGTAACCCGGTCCCTTCAGAGTCCAGAGGTTAAACGCACATTCAACGGAAGAAACCAGGAATATTTAGTCCCTGTGTGTGCGTGCGTATGTAACCACAGAATTCCAAGCCTGTATAGCGCGGTGCTTGGTGTCTATATCATATGCTACCAGATACCAGTTGTATATTACAGGCTGCATATGCAATACCATATGGACACTATGAAATATCACATGTGTTGTCGGGATAATTTTACATTTAGTGCATGATTAAAATGCCCTATATTGCATACCTAGCTTTTCTGCCTGTGCGTGGGTTCGTCTAGCAAATCGCCTTCACCATCAACCTCAGATAAAACCTGAGTTAAGGTCTCTTTACGTAAGCTGGAGGAACAATATGGAGGCGTGGATACGGTTTGTTTTTCCTGCCCTGGGCTCTGCCACGCAGAGCTAGCACGCGCGCAGCTGTCAATACGCAATTCATCTGCTACTGGGCGGCTGCGCCTCTCACTCACGATGACATTTTTAAAGTGGCAAAAAAAAGAGCTTAAAGCAGCACATTTGTCACTTTTTTTTCTTTCTGGTGACCTTTTGAGCACTGGGGAAAATTACTCTGCGTGTACAAAAGCCTTTAATCACTACACATAGATGTCACAATAGTGTCATATAGCCGTGTCACTTAAATGTAAGGAATTCACATTGTGCTTTCCCCGGGCCGCTGTTTATTTAATTATGCAAGAATTTAAACATAATAAAACCTCATGCATAACTCTGAGCTGGGGCCAACATTGCGCTGCAACTGTCATACATCTCATTTTTAAAGTGGAAAGTCAGAAATAACTTACACACGTCCTCAGCTTCCAGCTTTTAAATGCTCATAGGGAACTGAAATAGACTTATTCAATACATCTATATTTTTAAAGGGGGCGTGGTGATAGGGCTCTGGAGGTTTGGAGAAGGAGGGGGAAAACTTGACTCGAAGCTGTGTTCAGATCAGCTGAGCGGTCTTGAGGCCATCACTGGACATCTGATTTCCACACCTGTGAAGGCTGAGTTAGGAAAATGAAGTTAGCAGATATTTTCACCTGACCTCTAAAAGCCACTAAGAATCTAGGCTATTCAATGGAACTTTGAGTTCAAAATGCATCATGTTAGGCTAAACATATTAATGAAATATTTACTTGTTTTAATGCACCAAAAAGAGATTGAAAATTTCAAAGAAACTGATACCAAACTCAGCAGAAAACTGCATAACACATTTGTCCTTTCTAAAAATAGAAACAGAAATATGCTATGCCTGGTGTTGAAAATGTCAAAGTATACAAGTGGCTTGTGTTTAGAATTGCTTTTATTCTCATCACTTTTCCATACATTTGAGACCAGCCTAGACTACGTAATAAGACACCATCTATAGGTAGGTAGGTAGGTAGGTAGGTAGATGGATAAATGGATGGATGGACAGACTGATAGACAGACAGACAGACAGACAGACAGGAGGAACTGAAGGAAGGAGTGAGTAAGAGACAGGGAAGGTAGATAAAAACATAACATTGTGGCTGGAGACTTGGCTCTGTGGGCGAACACACTTGCCTCATAAGCAAGAGGACCAGAGTTCCGCTCCCTAACAAGCACTCTTGGAAACGTTGGGTGTGGCCATGCACGCCCGTGTCTTTGGGGGATGCAGATGAGAGGACTGCTGGGGCTTGCTGGTTGCCAGCCTAACTACAGGCTCAGTGAGAGACCCTGACTCAAAGAAACGTGGCAGAGAGCAACAGAGGAGGACATGGACAATCTCCCCTGGCCTCCACTTAAACTCACACCCACCAGCAGGAAGGAGCGCTCACATATGGGAACACACACATACACACACACACACACACACACACACACACACACACACACATTCAAGTGTGCTACCCTACAAAATAGACAAACAAATACAGAACACACTTTCTCATGGGCACGGGGCTCTTTTGTGGGTCCTCCTAAGGGACAGGGAACCTTGTCTACAGGCAGCTACTGGTGGCCACCTGGTAAGTGGTGTCTCTTACTAGAGCTCTGGCAAGACCGTCTCTCCAAGCTTTGCCATGACAGCAACATGGTGACTTTAGCTCTCAGCTGTGGCCAGCATGCACTGCAACTGTTGTGTGTGTCTCGATTCTAAAGCAGAAAGTCAGAAATAACTTGCACACACGTCCTCAGCTTCCAGCTTTTAAGTTCAAATAAAGAACTTGCAGTTCTGGCATTCAGAGAAAAGCCAGGCAGGGAATCTAAATGTTCCAATCTCCCCTTCCAGTAATGGCCTTAGAGACCTCCTCCCCTAGCCGTTGCCAGCTTGTGAGCAGGGGACGAAAAAGGGCAGCTCTCTAGTCAAGGCCAAAGAACATGACATCTCTCCTCCCTGCTCAGTCTTCTAATGAGGCTGGAGCAATAAAGAAAGTAGAGGTGTCTTAAGAGAGTTCACAAAACATTATAATAAAGATGAGTGTAGGGTATCATTTACAATGAACATCTGTGTGTAAGAGAAACTTGTTTGTTATATTTGACATTGCAAAACAAATGACAATGACACATGGACCACAAGTAACTCTGAGAATGTAACAGCCACCAGTACTAGGTTTTCTTATCAGTGATGAAACTTTTCCAAACCTGGAGATAACCCTGAGATAACGTTATGTAACTCTGATGTATTTCCAACAAAACAGCCTACAAGTCTCCACAGTCCACACAGCACCTGCACGCTTAGACCATTCTATGTACCGTCAAGTGGTACAAATTTATTTTATGTGCATAAGCAAAATGATCACAGTCCAAGCTTTAAAAACTGGTTAAAATAAATCCACCTACACACTCAGCTCCTGGGAGTTTATGAAGCTAAACGGAATCATTCTGTGCAGGATAAGATGTTTAGCAGCCTTCCACACCTCCGTCTATGCTACGATAACTCCAATGCGATTATGACACTTAAATTTTCGGGGTGATGAGCTCCCAAATTCCCAGAACACTCCCAGACCCCATGTGGGGGGTAGGTGAGCAGCTCAGAAGTACACGGCCACCGCCCATCACTCGGAAGCACACGGCCACCGCCCATCACTCTGAAGCACACGGCCACCGCCCATCACTCGGAAGTACATGGCCACTGCCCATCACTCATCACTCGGAAGTACTCAGCCACCGCCCCCAGAGGAGCTGAGCTCCACGTAGCAGAGGACATTCTTGGTGGGGCTCACAATGTTATGGCACACAAAAACCAACAAAGAAGGGGGGGGGAGCCACCACACCAGACTTGTTCATTGGTCTTTGGGAAAGGCTCATCCCCGTCTCTGCACATCCCGAGGGCCCCGCCCGGGGCCTTGAAGAACTCCATCCGGCAGGTCGCACCCTGCAAAGCCCTGGAGTCAGGCTGAGGATAAGATATAGAGAGTGGTCACCTCACCTAACAGCTCTGTCTCCCCACAGTTTGCTGGGTCCAGGTTTGTGCCACAGCTAGCTCGCATGGGCTTCTGAAAGCTGATCTCCGGGATTTTTATGAGCCAGTTGACAACATGTTGGTAGCTTGAAATCGGCTATGGTTTCAACCACAGAAACTGGTGAGCCCTGGATGTCGAGGCCTTTCTTCCCCCTAGAGCCCATTATTAAAAATCTCCCGGGACACCGCTGCTTGAAGCTGTCCTCCAGCCTGCAAGAGAGGTCACTGGGAAATCGGGTTTGTTTTGTTTTGTTTTTTTGCAAATGCCCAACCTCCTGTCTAGCTTCACACTGGGATCCTTGGTGATAGCGCCAGCTCTGGTACTTCTGGACACACTGATTCTGTCTCTCCGAAGCAGCCGTGTGCGTGTGTCATGGGTAGGATATACAGACTGCTAAACTGGCTCACCTCAGATAGACAATTCTAGGAAATTCTAGCACCCCCATCTGTCAAGGAATGAATTTCCACCCTCCCCTAAATCTTGCAGTTGCTAAATTTTCCCTAAGATCTTCAGCTTGGACATAAACATGGATTCACTCACCCTTCTATCAATCTGCTTCCCCTGCAAGACCAAGTGTGGGGAAATGCCACCACAGCCTCAAGAGCAACTTGAAACTGACAGGGTCCCCGAGCTTCCGTTTCTGGCCAAAAAGAGTTAAGACTTTGTCAGCTCCAAGCCACCAGGGGCTCTAGGACTCAGTCAGATCTGCAGACTCAACACATTTTAGCTTTCAATCGAAAAGATGCCAACTGAAGCGAAATGGGAAGACATTTCCAGGGAGTGGTGAAACTAAGATGAAGGCAACAGGGAGAAATTGAAATAATCTCTCCTCTGAAGATTCCAACAGTGCTTTTACTGTGTACCTTGCTGACCTGACTGTACCTCATGCTCTCAATGAAATATTATCATAGCCATTTTACAAATGGCCGTGATGAGAATGGCCGTCTGAATCATCTAGCTTTTCAGAAGCGTCACCCTGCCCTCCCGACACCTTCCTCTCCATTATCCCTGCTACCTAATGTCTCCCGCCTGACAGTAACTGAGGCCTGCCTGAGCCACACCGAAGCTCGAGCTCTTCTGCGTGTGAGACTGTTTTTCAGAAGTTGGTAACAGTCAGCACTTAAAGTTCAGCTAAATGACTTTAGTGCATTTAGCATTTTAAAAATATATATCTATGGTATTGGCGGTGACTGTGCCATAGTTGGTAAAGTGCTTGCTTGGCATTCTCAAAGTCATGGGTTCGATCCCCAGTACTGTATAAACTGGGTATGTTGGTGCAAACCCGTCTCCCCTCCCAGTACTCAGAAAGTGGAGTCAGGGGCTTCAGAAGTTCAAAACCATCTCCAACTACATTGGAAGTTCAAGCTTAGCCTACACTACACTATGATACCCAGATTTTTTAAAAACTGTGTTTTTTTTTTTTTTTTTTTGGTTTTTCGAGACAGGGTTTCTCTGTATTGTTTTGGAGGCTGTCCTGGAACTCGCTCTGTAGACCAGGCTGGCTTCGAACTCACAGAGATCCGCCTGCCTCTGCCTCCCAAGTGCTAGGATTAAAGGCGTGCGCCACCAACGTTAGTATACATAAATTTAATTTATTAAAACTCTATTGTAAAGAACTTGTAAGTAAAAAAAAAATCACACAGCAAAATTAATCAGACTACAAACCTACATGCATTACATATAATCAATATATCTCCTTATGCTCTCATCTTTTATTTTTAAAGGTTTCTTTTAAAGGTGTTACAGACATATACAAACATGCCTGACAAGTTTTGACAGACATATAAACCCATGGAATCAATACCATGTTCAAGCTAGTGAATATATGCATCACCCCAAAACATCCTCATATGATTCGTCCTCTGGCTCACCTGCCCCCTCGGTCCAACCTGCAGGGCCACACCTGATACACTTTCTAGAGAACTCAGCAAAGCTTCTGTTCAGAGCTCCAGAGAAACAAGTCCATACACTCTGTCCTCCATAGCTGGCCCTTCCACTCAGCATAATGATCTTTTTAACGTTTGTTTATTTTCATTTGGTGTTGTATGGTGTTGCTTTGCCTTCACATATGTCTCTGCCAAAGAGGGTAGAGAGACAGCCACAGTAGCAGAATCTGCCGGCAGCAACCCAGGATGGGACACCAGCACAGGGAGCCCCAATCTCCCGGTCCCTGCCATGGAGTCAGTGAGGACTCACAGGGGACCATTTGCTTTGTTGTTTTGCTTTGTTTTGTTTGGAAGAAGAACCTGAGACACCATGATCTTCTCCATAACCTAGAACTCACTATGTAGCTCCAGGACGGCCTCAAATTCATCAAAGTCCCCCAATTCCATGTGTGAGCCACCCCGCCCAGCCCCCTCGCCTGCTGTGTGGGACTTTGCTGGCAGAGGCACAGTCTCCTGTTTACCGCGGCTCGCCCTAAGACTGCTTTAATTCGTGATGGAGTGGTCAGGATACCAACCTTTGGATCTTGACTTCTGCCGTTCCGCAAGACGCCCTTGTGAGGCTGGGCAGAGTGGTAAGAGTCTCAGCTCCAGCATCGTTAGGTCAAAGAGCTCTCTTGCTGTGGCTCAATGGTGATGTTTGCAATGGGGTTTGTCACATGTATTTTGACCTAAGATATTTTCAGCTTTCAGTGGTTTATCAGGAAGTTAGTCATCCCATCCGTCATAGGTTAAGGAACATCTGTCAAGTGGGTGAGTTAGAGAAAGGAGAAAAAGAGAGAGAGACCTGCAAATGCTTGGTCATTTTGTTACCACCGCTTTCCTTTAGGGGAAAAGAAAATGTGCCTAAAGCAGGTTGAAGTGCCCAGTATGATCAATAACTTCAAAAATAAATAACACAGGGGTCAGTAAGATGGCTCCTTAGGCGGTTAAGAGCGCTGGCTGCTTTTACAGAGGACCCGGGTTCAATCCCCAGTCTCTGTGTCAGGCAGCTCTCAACCATTTGTGACTCCAGATCCGGGGAACCAGATGGCCTCTCCTGGCCTCTGTGGGCACCACCAGGCAGGCACACAGCACACAGACACACGTGTGGGCAAAACACAAAGTCAAAATAAACAGATCTTTCTGAATGACTAAGTAGGCGAGGTCTCGTCAGTCTTGGTGAGCAGTCGAACAGAGGCAGCCAGGTGGGGAACTCCGGATTCCCCCTGACAATCCCGCAGTGACAGGAGACAGTCGCGGCGTTAGCCCTCACCACTGACACAGACCGACTCTCCTGGATCAGGCCCCGGGCCCGAGAGAGACTTCAGCACAATAAAAGCCCTGCTCCTCAGTCCTCCTCAGTCCTCCTCAGTCCTCCTCAATCCTCCCACTCCACACTTCAATTTGCCACAGAGGGTGCCTCATCTGAAATTCTCATCTCGTTAAAACTCAGATAAATGTGGCCTGCTTCGAGCCTATAGGTATTCACACCAGCCAAGAGGTCTGCACCACTCTTCAGTTGTCAAGAAAATACATTAATGCTTCTAAATCGAGGACAAAAATAAAATCGCTCAGAAATAAAGTTTAGCGTTTCTTTTTTTTTTTTTTTTGGCACTTAAAATATCCTTCTATTTGTGCTCCCCTAACTGAGCATATGACTTGCAAAGTGAAGTAGCCATAAATCAGGATGCTATAACACCCTCCTCAAGACATTTGTCAGGAAAAAATAATTAGCTTGCTGGCTAAGGGAACACTAATACAGCAGTCCATTCCGTTCCATTTGGTCCTTTTTCAACAATTTCAAAAGAGTTCCAGAGAACTAGACAAAGAAAATGAGAACGCTCACGATCCTTCCCCGGGCCTAATGAAGAGTATTTCTTGATGCTGATACAACTCTTGGACCCGATCCTTAATTCTGAACCTTTTGAATCTTGTCCATCAGTGGCAGACTTGTTCCGCTGCTGCAAGACATGATTTTTCCAAATTGGCCTGAGGGACGAATGCGGGTTAGAAACAATATTGTCATTGGCCTAACATTGGCAGGATTGGTGGAAAGTCAGACAACTGTTATGTTCTGGAGTTGTGGGCTAATAGTGCCCTCTGTTTTCCATTTCTGCTCCCATCAACACAGTTTCCAGATGGCCAAGAAGCCGCTGGAGTGGAAGTACAGACCCAATACAGCAAGGACCCATCCAGTAAACAGTTGTAACATCTCGTGGTTAAAAGCATCGATCTGGAAGCTCACGAGGGAGGCACAGCAGAAATCAGCAGCTTCATCCTGTCACCAAGTGCGTGGTCTGCTTAGAACAGTAAGCGCACCCCCCCCCCCCCAGATTCACCACACTCTAAGCAGCCCACTCATCCGTTCAAGAGCCGACAGACCACAGTCGACAGGAAGACTTGAAAGATTCTCCTGGGTCTTCCCAAGATTCGCAGACCATGAGTTCAAGGTGGAGGACAGGTCTACACAGTCTACAAAAAAAATCCTTCCAGAGCCAGTGAGATGGCTCAGCAGGTCAAGAGGCTCGCCAGTGAAACTGACCACCTGAGTTCGACACCCAAAGCCCACAAGGTTGCAGAGAACAGAACAAGGCATCCCCTGGCTTCCCGTGCACTCTGACTACACTGTGGTAGGGGCACGTGTACACACACACTTATGGTTATTTGATCGGTACTAAGCAAACAAATAAATATTTGTTTGTAGTCTTCCCAAGTGATTCCGACAATCAGAGAATCCCGAGTCTGCTTGCAAGAGGATCTTTCAAATGCTGGAGCTGAGTGAGGCAGGACTAACTGGGGGTAGCTCTGGGATTTCCCACGTCCACCCTGGATTCCTGCTATGCTCGGCCAAATGTTGGGGATCCTGCTGACTCTGCCTCCTGAGTGCTAGCGTTGGGAAAGCACATGTCATCCCACTGTGTGGGCCCTGGGGAAATCACACTGGGGTTCTCATGCAGGACATGGCTGAAATCCTAGCTACATGAAGGTCAGTGACTAAGTTTCCCATCAGAGGTTCGTTGGGAGCAGGCCCTGCGCCCAGCTGGCTCTGTGGCACTGAAGTCTGGGCACGCTTAGAGGATCTTCTTGGTCAAGGCACAATTGCCTCTGCAATAATTAGGTCTGAGATCAAATTGCCTGTTTGCATGAACAGCAGTCATCTGAGCAAGATAGCGCTCACCCTGTGCAAGCAAGGAAAAGCAGATAGACAGCTATGTGTCTTCCACCAGGCACAAGGCTGACTTTCAGTCATTCAAGA